AAGTTTCTTCTTTTTGTACTGGTTGATGAATAGGTTCCTCTAATTTAGACTTGGGTGACAATTCTATTTTATCCACCATATTAAATTTTCCATCGACTTTATTTGAATTGATTTTTTCATCTACTGGATTTAGCTTTGACATTGAATCAATAACTTCGTTAATTGAATTTTTCTCAAATGTTGATTCTTGAGTTTGTCCACCAACAACCTCATATGACCGGTCATCAGTACGATTTGGTGGTCGCTCGTGATGTGTTTGTTGTTGTAAACCAAAATTGGATTCTTTCCTGATACCAAAATATCCTGAATCTTCCGACTGTTGAGCCCGGGATGGTGTAGCACCAACACCGGGTGCTATTATTCCCCATGGTGAAACTGGAGGTGGCTGTTGCTCTGTCGTGGTTGACCAACCTGCATTTCTCGTTATTACATCAATGAATGGAGAATTTGGAGCATTTGTAATTGGTGCAGAGACTGGCCCAGATAGACCAACATAATTTTGCTGTTGTTGACGAATAAATGTATCTGGATAAGTATGTTGATTCTGTTGTAATTGTCTTTGCTGCATCATTAAATATTGCTGTCTCTCAATTTGTGGATTAAACGCTCGTTGATGTTCCAGATAGGTTTGAGGCGGTGACACATTGAATGTTGCATTATTATTGAATAATGGAGGAGAATTTGGAGCTTGTAAACGGGGTGAAAGGTTACCGCCGTTTGATGTGTAACTATCTGATGGTCCCCATGTAGAACTCGTTGTTCCTAAATCATTCCAACCATTTGAAACCTCGTTGCGACCAAACACCCCACTGAATTGATATCTGTCAAACGGTGTCGTTGGCACAGATGTGGTTCCTCCGAACGGATTAAATCTTTGTTGATGTTCGAGAAACAATTGAGCGGTGCTTGGAGAATTAGGTGCCCCCCAAGCGCGTTGGAATGGATCATTTACCAACCGTGAAGAATTGTTTGGCATAGAAATCGTTAAAGACGGTCTATTTCCTAGAATTGGTGCTGAAAAAGGTCTCTCATCATCACCAGTCTTTCGAATTAAAGCTCCTAATGGCTCAAATGCGGTATTTTCCACCCTCTTAACTAAAAGGCTAAGTACAAAAAATCCTCCTTTATACCAATCATTCATTTCTTGACTGCTAAATGGTCCTGGTGTTGGAATATTCATGTTCAATTATGACATCAAGGACGCAATCAATTGACAGTTTATATTTATGGTGATAATTAAACGAAATTAACATACCTTGAATATTACCGCTCGGATCTCTATACAACCATTTAGATTGTTCTGATTGTTTTCTTGACTCTGAATTTAGACTTGTGCCAGGAAAGAGACTTGTTACCCCAGGATTAGTATCACCAAAAGCACTATTTGGGCCAAGTATAGAGTGTGTGGAATACTTGGTTTTCCCTGGAGGAGACATTGGTGGTGTGTTACCTCCCATAGTTGGATACGAAAACGCTTCTTTAAGCACGTCATCATCTTGATCAGGGTCAAAATGATGTTGCATTAGTAATTGTTGATGATGCTGTTGCTGCATTGCGTGCTGTTGACGGTGTTGTTGATCCTGCATTATCTGCTGCTGTTGAAGTAATAGCTGTTGCTGATGTTGCAATCGCAACTGAAGCTGAATTTGTTCCTGCCGTTGTTGCATTTTTAATTGTTCCTGTTCCTGTTGCTGTAATTGTAACTGCCGCTGTAACTGTTGTTTCTCGTGATTTTGTTCTTTATCTTTTTCTTGAAGGTGTAATTGTTGTAGCATCAATTGTTGATCAAACTCACTTTCACTTTCCTTCTCTTGCTTAATAACTGAATTTTGATGATTTTGTTGTTGCGGTGATAGTTGTTCGGCTTCGCGCCACCTTTGTTGTAATTGTGGCTTCTCATTTTGTTCATCTTGCGGGTGAAATTCATCTTTAGGATCTATGCTATCATCTCCTTGTTGACTTGGCTCCTGCAATCCTTGCCATCCCTGTATCATATCTTGTTTTGGTTCTGCTTGCATATGTTGATCAACACGTTGAAATGGTGGTTTCTCTTGTAATGACGAATTCAATCCTTCAGGTGATAAATTCGTCTTTGTTGCATCCTCATCATTATTTAAAGATTTATTGTTTGATTCTGAACATTCCTTTCCGGAGGTTATATTATCGCTTTGAAGGGATTTTGTATAATCGCTTGTGTCCGAACGATCAGTTTGATTTTTCTTTTCAAGCTATATATGAAATAAGTAGTTAAAAGTATATATTTTTAAACCAAATATTATAATTATTTTGTAACCAACCTCTTGATCGATTTTTTTATTAGGTTCTGGATCATCTTTCTTTAATTTATCAGGAGATTCTTCATCTACACTACTTCCTTGAATTCGAAACACTCCATTGCTATCAAAAGTTCCTACTGCATTTCTAGTTACTACGCCATTCCAAATTGGATCGTCAGTAGAAGGATTTAAAGATCCGGGTGTTCGAGGTGGGCGACTACTTCGTGGGCTCGTTCGCCCACTATTGAGTACACCACCAATAATTCCACCGAATCTTTCTCCTCTGGGCGAAGTAAGCCCCGTATTGATATGTTTATCATTTCGTGGAGAATACGGTACTCTATCTCTTTCAACACGCTCACCCCCTGTAATCACACCCCCTGGGTTATTGGAGGCGATACGACGGGTGAGATCACTATTAACAGAAGCACCCGATAAAAGCTGATTTATCAAGGCACAAAAGGAAATGAACAATGAAAAATTAATATAATAGTTTATTAAAATTTCTTTTTCATCATCTGGAAAAAAAATTAGAACTTTTATACATCAATATAAAAATTTTGCTAATAATAATAATAGCAGAGATCAGCCAAAAAAATTTTGGGGCTGATATATCTAGAAAACTCGGCTGATATTCAATTTTCACAGATTTATTGCCAAAGACTCATACATAAGCGGATATATATATTGAATGTTTGTAGTTGTTTCAAAACAACAACTAAAACATTTTTGAATTATTTCCAATGTATAGATATAACGATATCAGCTAGATACCTTTTGTTCCTGTTCTGTTGGTACTATCAATGCCATTGGTTGCAACGGCTCTTCGCTTGTAATATATTCGTGCCGTTCAAATTCCAAAGGCAACCCTACTGGCTTATATAATTTAATCATGAATTCCTTGGAATATTTGAAAGGATTCAAGGCGGAATCATTAGAACCAGGTACATCAGATTTCTCGGATGTTTCATGCTGAAGAGAACGGTTTAATGTAGCGTTATTACTGTTTGCAGCCGCCACAGAAGACCAAGAAAATGTACTTGTGCCCGAGACGTTGTTGCTGACACTAAAAGTGGCATTTGGTGTATTATTTGAGTTGCTATTTGCGCTGCCGGAATGATTTGATGCAGTGGTAGTCGCATTGGCAACCACGTTAGATGAAAGCAAAGTTGGAGAGGTAGAACGATTGTTATCGCTCGATGGAGTTTTTGGAAAACGTCTCATCCTTGAAATCGAGAGTTTTGTTTGTGACGTTAGCAAAAGATAAAATCAGAATTTTTGACACCTCAGAGACTCTCTTTTTAAATCTAAATTACTGGCCGTTCCAGCCTAAAAAGGAAAGCCTG